CGTCGTGCGGCGTCTCGGTCGCGGCCTCCCGCCTCGACGGGCGTTTGATGGGGCGGCGTCTTTCAGAGGCCGGCAATGAGGGAGAAAGGGTTGAATGCTAATTTGAAGGACGGAAGGAGCCCATAGATATGGTTAAACGTTCCTGAACTAATAATTTCGTGCAGAATCTTTCAGCTTTCCCGTCCTGTTGATCGACAGGTCAAGTCTAGATTATTCCCAAAAATAAAAATTAAAAATAAATAGCAGAGGAAACAAAATGAATTATTTAAAGGAGCCTGATTTATTTAACTTCGATTTGTCAAGGTATGCCCAAATAAAAAAATATCAGTATGTAAAACTGGAATCCCTCGATAGACCACAGGTTGAACTATAATAATAATAATAATAATAATAATAATAATAATAATAATAATAATATTAACGATATAATATAATAGTATTAATAGTAATAATAATTATAACATTAATATTATTAAAAAAGAAAGTGGCCGGAGTGAGCGAAACGCAGAGATAGTCAAAAACAAGTTCTCATTCAAAAGTTCTGTTATTTGACTCGCCTCATTCATTAAATTTACGAAATAATTCGTTATATCTAATCGTATTCCGTATGCAATGTTTTCAGTCTCTGTTTTATATAAATTGGGAACTGTTCGAAAAATGTTGTGTATTTCGTAACTATATTTATTTCTTGTTTTATACATTTTGTTGTAAATTTTTATTACCACCAAAATTTTTGGGAAGAAATTTAGTTGAGGGAATTGTCTTACTGTAAGCATTAAATGTACATTTTCATTTCAACATTGAAGCCAAGCTTTTAAATGGAAGCTTGTAGAATTTAAGTACTGTGTTTTTCATTTCTATTAGATATAGTGGGGGGAGAAATAAATTGTCGAAGTTATAACTATGCGGATATTTTCTGTTGCCGTTCTTTGTCCAGATTTGCTGGCAATACATTTCCAACCATTAAATTATAGGTATTACTACGAGTACTTTGGTAATTGTCGATAAATTCTCGACTTGCGAAGCGAGGAGGGGATTTATCTGAGAATTTCCAAAGCACGAGTGGTATTTAATAGGACTATTTCACAAATGAAATTATGACAGTGTTCCAAAATGCGCCAAATATTCCAAATACCTAAAACTATGTTAAAATCAGAGATATTATTTTATTATACGCTGTTTATTGCACATCGACATAGCGATCGATGTATACCGCCTCCTAAGATAAATGAGGGAGAAGTAGCTAGAATAATTGGATAGAGAAAGTGATAAGCTTTTTTAGGTACTCTGCGCTGCTTGGGGCATTTTGTATGTATTATTTAACACTATTAGTTTCAGTTTCACGAGTGGAATAGTCAACGAAAACATGAAATTTACAATTGCTTACGAAAAGCTTTTTAATAAATACCTATTCCCCTCAGGATTAACCAAGTTGAAATAACTACTTTCATCTACATTCAATGTTAGATCCTCCTTAAATTCCTATTGTCAACCGAATGATGATATTTATAATTCATAAACTCAATTTTTTTTACATGTGATGTTTCAGAGAGTAGAAGTACTCTCGAGGCCTCGTTAAATCTTGTAATACCGTCTCTGTACACCCATTTATGTTCCAATCGCTGTTCAGACACGACTTCATGCTCGTGATAAAAGTCGACGTCGCGTAAGAAATATTTTCCTGCATTGAATGCGAATGATCGTAGCAGACGTAGGCGCCTCCAGTTGGCTATTATATTGGTTTCTGTCCTCCACCCATCCCACCCGATCCACCCACACCACCACCCCCCCCACCCTCCGCCGCCGCCGCCGCCGTCGTCATCCCGTCGTCATCGCCGCCACCGCCACCGCCAAAGCGGGGGCGGCGGCGGCGGCGTTGGTGATGGCGATGGTGATGGCGGTGCTCGTGTGTTCCATAATGGACGTCTTTTACAGTCGCATCGTAAACGAGCGGGGCGGCGGCTGTCCGCGGCTTGTCGCCGGGTTTGTTTCTCGCTGCTGCCCGTGCTTAGTCGCGTTGGAAGCCGAGGTGACGTTTAAGCAGGATGCCGTTGTTTTTGCCACTCTTTCGGAAGGGAGACGGACAAGTGTTGCGAGCGTTTCTCTGATCGGACTGGGCGTGTCGCTGTGTTGTTTGTTTTTTTAAACTTTAGATTTTCTATTTTTCTCTTAGTGTGGAATACGAGATCAAGGCAGTGAAACCTAGATGCATCAAATCGAAGGGGTTAAAATCGAATTATCCAGCATTTCGACCTCAACGAGATTGGAGGTGCTAATCAAAATGCATAAGCAATTTATATGAGTAATATACGAGTATGTGTAAGATATGCAATACGTGGAAATTCTGTTCTCTATTTCGAAATTAATATAGTAATAATATAAAGATTTGGGGATTATTGCAAGAATAATACAATAATTATCCTATGTCTGTTGAAAATTTTAATTCGTCCTGAGATACAGTTCCTCACTATGCCTTACGATAAAGTCTTAATCGTCTCGGCGGGGGAGTAGGGACAGTAACATCGAGGAGATATGACAACTTTTTAGATAATTTCACTTCATTCAAATACTGATGACATTTCCCAGTCACATTAGATTCTTCGCGACTATTTCAGCTTATTTTGTTAATGTTATACAGATTTTTATAACAGACATGTCTACAGTTACGTTATTGAAAATTAATTAATGTTTAGTAAAAAATAAATACAATTTTGAACGTGTCATTAAATTTTGCTTTAAAAATTTACTTCGTATTGTATTCAAAGATGTGCATTTATTGCATTCACAGAGAAAAGCCTATTCAATTTACTGCGCATATTAACTGTTTAATTACATTTTGGGATAAGTTCTATAATACCACAAAATATTTAACGGTTACAATATGATACTCAGGCCGGGAGCGTAGAAAAGGGAGTAATATAAAATCATGTTACGTTGCTAATTTCTTAATAAAAAGATTTCAAGCGCACTCCTTCCGATTCACGAGAAACACGTTCGTTTCCATAGAATACTTCAGTACTAACTTCTGTATTACTTCAATGGAGCGCAGACCGAGCAAGTCATCTAACAGCAGATCAGATTCCATTTACTTCATTCGAGTTTCTTTCTCACGACGTACAAATATCGTATAAATGCAAACTTGCCTATAGGGCGTCTCTGTGTCAGGTCACTCAACAGATGAGCTTCAAGCATAAATTATGTTTAGGAAGACTTCATTCCAGTTAAAACTTTTTATCGCTGTTTTCGTTAACTTTTAACTCTCAGTATTTCGTAAATTGGCGGCCACCACTACCACTACTATCACCACTACCACCACTACTATTACCACTACCACCACTACTATTACCACTACCACCACTACTATTACCACTACCACCACTACTATTACCACTACAACCACTACTATTACCACTACCACCACTACCATTACCACTACCACTATCACTGCCATTACCACCACAATGTCTAGGCATCTACTCCCAACCCGTCTCCGGCCCGCGCCGTCTTCTCTAAAGTTGCAGCGGCGCCGCGCCAGCCACCGGACCCACATGCGCGCGGATTCCAAGCGCAAAGGCCGTGGCGGATGACGCCGCAGATACCGCGAGCATGCTGGGGTGTTCGCGCAGGACGTGCGCACTCGGCGGCCTCCGGCCCCTCCCCCCCTCCCGCCCTCCCCCCTCCGCCTCCCCTCCCCAAGACGACGACCGACGACCACGACGACGCGACCATGTTGCGCCCGCATACCTCCCTAATACAAACCCCCGCCAAAAGGCGCAAGAAACTGTGTACAGCGAACCGTCCTCCTTCGAGAGCCCCCGCCGCCGGAGACCGCCCGCTGATGCCTACGCGCGGACTTCACAGCCGCCGCGCCGGAGTCTTTGTGCGGTGGGCTGCGGATCGAAATCCCGGCGCCAATAGCGAGGTTGCTCGCGAGCGTACGCGCGAGCGGTTTCGTTATACTCATGTGCTTCCATACCGAGGGCGTTCTCGAACGGTTTCGAATTTCGGATTGTGCGCAGTTCTTGGTGTATGCTGCTCGTAGAGTTGTGTGGAAATATATAGTTATAAAGGAAGTTAATGTCGGTATGCTCGTATATGAATGACGCAACGGAATATATCCCAATCGTAGAAATTGCAAATTGTAATTCCATTATTTACGTTTCTTTGGCAGTTGTTATGGTAACTATCGCAATGCAGTAGAAATCAAGCGAAAATCACTCGCAAACATACTCGCGGAAGTTTCGTGAATTACGTAGCTTCCGTTGTCAAGAAGGCTTGGTTCTGTAAGCTATTCCTAATTAGCTGCACGATTTGCACGTATTCACATAGACTTGCTCATGACATTTGAGAATGCAATAAAGGTGGTGTGATAACTGGCGAATTGCTTTTTCTAAAATCATTGGGGGCGAGTGAAAAGGTTGAAATCGGAGAAAATGTCAACTCTGTTTTGCCAAGAATGCTTTGCCGACGTGTCGATACTGTTGTACTGAGAGGCTTTCGAACGTAACCCCCACAGCACGGTACTGTATCAGATCGCCGTGAAACAAGTCGCTACAGGTACGCAGTTAATGGTAATAATTTCTTTATCGCTAAAGGCCATCGGAATAAATTTCCATTCTCAAACGAAACACAACGAAAATCAAGATAACTCCGACCAATTAATTATTGTACTTTTACAAAACGGACCACTTTTTCTTGTTCGCACCGCGTTTGGGGTAATTAATTGGACCGCGGTTTGTATTCCCCGGCGGTCTTTGCGGGATTGAGGGAGATGCCCAGTCGGTCGCCCTTGTCTGAACCCTCCACTCTCGTTATGCAGGTACATCCGCCTTGCTTGAGTTGACAATGGTTTTTTGCCGCCTTTACCTGCTAAATCTAGTGTTAATACTATAATCTGCTTTGGTTCTCTTGCAGTCACCTCCACCCGACAGTAGTGTTTTACTTTGATGATGATGGACTTTTAAAACATTATGAGTCGAAGAAAAATACCGAAAGATAAGCAATATTTTATGGGAGTTATCAAGGAATTTCACTTAATTTCACGAAAGGACCTTTGTAGTGGTTTTCATATTTCTTCTTCTGAAATGTTCTGTGCATCCCCGAACGTTTCGTGACACGAACATCACGAATTGTCTAAAATAATCGGAATCGCGTAGTTGTATTTTTCGTATGTATCAGATGATCGGCATTGAAGTTGTCACAGTAAAACGCAAGGAACTAACCTTCAGTCACAAAAGATGAATATTCGATTACAAATGTGACGTATTTTCGACACATTCATAATCTTAAAACTAGTCTTTTTCTACTGGCGAGTGAATGTTGCGATTTGAGTAAAAGTGCAAATGGACAGTGTCATTTGAACCAACTTTTAGTTTTAAGACATTAACATCTTTTAAAGGCCTAGCTAATCAATCCGTCATATCCGCCGTTTGGATGATGTCGGCTTCTGCCTTCCAGTTGGGCAGATCTGAAGACGGCCGAGACAATTGCTTATCTCCTAGATTAAAAAAAAAACCTGTAGATTCAGACGGCACCTTCCATTTGCACCCTTTCCCGAAGTCCTGTGTGCCCTCCCGCTGTCCGGAGCTCCGGTGGCGACCCCGCCGGTCGGCGCGCTGAGATGGTCTTCCGAAGGCGGGCGTGTAACGGTTGACGGTGCGTGCGAACGGGAGCGGTTTCTGCCCACGGTCGGCGATCGCGCCGGCGCGCGTCGCGAAGCAGGTGTGAAGCCGCGGCGTCTGCCTTCTTTCGAGGCGTTCTTGGTATGGGAGTGTGGAAGGAACTGGATGCGACTGACGAAAGAGTTCAGCGCGATGTAACCGCCCGCGATACCGGGCAGGTCAATCCTGCATGGCTGTCATAATGCTTGCAATTCTTTGCAGCAAATCGTCAGACTTTCTGACGATAAAGGAGTGTTTCTGAATATTGAATCATTTAAAACGGGCAATAATATTGATGTTTGGTTATCATGTATATTAATAATTGATTTCCTTGAACTAATACGCCTAAAAATGGTTTGTGATTCTTTTGTAATTTTTCACCTAGTGAGCTCTGACAGTCGTAGAATGTACCAAATGTAGGACATTAGTTAGGCCGAATTCTCATAATTGCTTTTGCACGTCCCTTGGCTCTGCTGGGCCTCCTACAGCCTACTCTCCCCTTCGTTCTCAGAGCAGCTTTCTTTCCCGCCCTCCCTTCTGGCGTTGCCTGCTCTCGCCCCCGCATCGCCTGCGCCCCTACTTCCTTCGCCGACGCCGTTGATTTCGCGGAGACTTGGGGGAGGCAATCTCCCGGGTACCCTTTCTCGCGCTCCATGGCCCGATCGCTCAGCCTGCGAACAGTCTTCCGCCTGAGGCCTTCCAGGAAGCCTGCCCGCCTGCCGCTGCCCCACCCGCCAGCGCAATCGTTCGCTTTTGAACTACGATCGGCAAACTGACTGCCTGCCGACGTCGCTGCTGCTATCACCACCACACCACCACGCAACCACCACTACCACCACCACCACCACCATTCACCCCACCCACCCACCCACCACGGCCACCGCGCCGGTTCGCCGCTCGCTTCGCCGCCTCTGCTCCGCCCCTCCGCCTCTTTGACACACTTCTTTCACAGCGGAAGTTGCGGTCTTCTCGCAGCTCTTGCGCCTTTCTTCCCCCCGGCCCCTATCAGGCTCCTTTTTCCTCTTCTATCCGCCTTGCGGCCCGCTTCGCCGCACCCCTCCTCACCCGCCCCAGCCCGCCTGCTTGCCGCGCGTCCGGAATTCTTCGGTAATTGAAATCAATGGTGGCGCACCGTGGCCTTGCGGCAAAGTAGAAGTTGGGGCGAGTTTCCTGTTTTGCCCGTCCCGGCGGCTGCGCCCCCCCCCCCGCGAACCGTGACGCGCCCCATGAATATACTGATGTGCCTGGCTGCCGGCTTCCCTCCCGCCGCTGCCCGGCCGTGCTGCGCACCCGGCTGCCGGTGTTACGTGTGCTCTTTCGCCGCCAATAAGGTCGTGGCAATATGATATTCAAAGCAGTCGCGTTGTAATTTTCTGATGTACGTATGCATCTCGATTGTCGATATTATTTATATTTCCTATTGTGAAGTTACAAATGCAGCCGCTTCTTTGTGATTCGAAGTGTAAAATAATTCTTTGGGAAAGTAGCACGTATTTCAATTTGTAGCTCGTCTTTCAAATCACAATGAAAATGTCTGATTTCGTGCTATCGAATTACATAATTGTGTAATGATCGTTCTACTTAAGCGTGCTTACCGTTAAAACAGTGGGAAGAATCAAAATTCTCAGCACAGCACTCCGAAGAAAATCTACCGACTACCGACAGTTTTCAATTCTATTGGTTTCATTTTTCTTGTCTTTCACTCTCTCTTTGTTCTGTGTGTTGTTTCGCCCCTTTCCCGTCTCCTCACACTCATTTCCCTGACTTGTAACCTTTCTGAGAGCACATTCCGATCTCTCGGGATGCATAACTATTTAAAGAATCTTGAGTCGGAAGCGCCTGTGCGTTTGGTTTGCAATTTAATGTAACTGCCGTTATCTTAATTACAGGAAGACTATAGTGATCCTGCCATGATCATTGAACGCTTGATCGCCACAGAGGGCGCTCTGGGACTAGGAAGAATGATTCAGGAAAATCGAGACGAAAAGGAGAACGCTTCTCCAAGAAACAGTATTAAGGGGGTAAGTTAAAATTTTATCCGGAAACAGGAGACGGAATGAGAAAAAAAAGAGAAAAGAATTCTTGAAGAACGTGCTTGCCGTCTAACCAGAGCAATGCTTACGAAGTGATATTTGGAGGAATGTTAAAAAATGTCTGCAGGAAAAAAAAATCTTGAACAGAAGATACTATTGTTAAATACGAAATCATTGACCTGTGATTGTATGGAGATAAGAATGCATTTTGTGTGGATTTGAAGACTTGAGATACATTTGAAATAACTCATGATGACTATGCTAACAACTAACATGAAATTAATGTTCATACTTTATGATTCCTTTGACTTCAAAGAGAATGCATGTGTTCTTGTATCTGCAGTTGGATACTTTATCAATGCCATTATGAATCTAAATCTGATTCAACTGAATATATTATGCTTTATTTAAATATTTGTAGCTAGAGTTGTTATATAGTGTGTTCTAGGTGGAACAATTGCATTTATATTTCTTCAGAAAGCTATTTGATTTTTTCTCGTAAAGAATCATATGCCTAAGTACTTGATCACTAAAAAATCTAGTCGCTTTGAGGAAGTAAATGTTGAAATTAATTTTGTTCATGCGTGTTTCAAGACAACTAGTGCTTCGTAATAGATTATGAGAGATACTGGAGGCTAGATGAGGGCAGCCAGTCCGGCGTGTCGACGGCGGTCGCATCTTCCGCGCTGTGACCCGGGGGATTATCGCTAGCTCACCTTTTATTTAAGAGCATCCCCCCCTTCCCTCCGCCTCCGCCTCACCCTTGGATGGAGGCCAAACGCCGAGCGTGGTATCACTAGTACCGTCAATCGCGAGCTCACGGCCTCCGGAAGACGATAGATCCCCATTTCAGCGCTGTTGTTTACGAAATAGCCCGACGTACGTCGCCGTGTGCCTATGGAAGGCGAACCTATAAAAATACTCTGGAAGTCGATGGATGTCCCGGCTCGGCCTGTGCTTCGTTTATTTTTACTGACCCGTTTCTTTAGAGTGAACAACATGTGCAATCGAAATATCTTGTAGTCAAGTCTTCGAATATTGCAAAATATTTCTCCCGATGTAAATTTCTTACTGTGAACCAAATATACTAATTCTTACTGTTTTTAATGTCAACACAATTCTTATGGTAGTAATTCGTCAGACATCAGGAATTGCGTCAGTTTTTCCGACCTAGTAGAAAAACAATCTTCTAATAAATAATTCTCTGAGACTTAAAAAAATAAAAAAAACATTTTTTCTTCCTAAAATAATGGTGTGCAAATTTAAACATTAAAAGTAAATATTAATGCTTACGAGTTTTAAAGCAGAATTTCAGAAATTAGACTGTGTTGCCACGGAAGTTCCTTTACCAGATTTTCTTTTTATTCTTTGATTCCTTGTGTTCATATAACATATTGCACACATCAATAAATTGTCTCCAGCAAATTTAATGGGTGCATTTGAAAAAGAAGAACGGAAGGGGACGATAAGTTCGCTGTTATCGTGTTGCGGGTCGGCGTGCCTTAACTAGCAGGTCGGGGCCACGGGCGATGACGCGAGGTTCAGGGTTTTTCTCCCGTGAGATTGAACTTCAGTAACAGGACAAGTTCTCCTGAAGAGGAAGAGAGACGGAACTGTTTCTAGTTGCTACTTCGTCATGATTTACGGGCGGATATTGCCATGTTTGCTTTTAAGATGTCACGATTCTGTAGTCCGAGTTTGCCGCCATCTCTATCGTGCAGGCAGTTGTACAACAAGAACGTTGTACTTCTTATGAATATTGCAGTAGAGTATTTGAAAACAAATTACGATCATTATTATTTGCTTTGTTTGAATATTTTTGTCAATTTTCGAGATTTTATTCCCAAACATGTTTGTTCTTGCTAAAAAGAATATTTTGTTAAATTATTACGAATTGTAACTTTTACAGAACATGAGTTTAACTTTTCCTCCTGGGTTATGTCAGCATCCGCATCATCAGATTTTCTATCTCCCACTTACTCTCTCCGATACTCTGATCCGCTCACGCATCACCTCTTACATCACGCGACTCACTCACGCTCCCCGTTCACGCACGCACCCGCGCACGCACCCGCTCTCGCTCACGCATTGGTTGCGGTGGCGGCGTCGGCGGCGGCGGCGGTCGGGGAGGGCTATCGGCGCCAGGAGGCCCGGTGCTGTGGCTTCCTCGGACTCGCGGAAGTGGCGTCGGCGAGGCGATAGCCGGCGATACGCCGCGATAGCCTGCGTTGCCCACTTGAAGCCAGACGCTGCCGCTGCCTCCCCCGAGGCGGCGACGCCGCGCCGCGCCGCGCCTCGCCACGCCTCGCCACGCCTCGCCGCGGCTACCGGAGCAATTGGTGGGGATTGGTTCGGGATTTTTGTGGAGTTTGATTGGAAAATCATATGTTTGCCTTTTTGAGTGCTCTTATCAACCATTTTGTATTACCAGTTGCTCAGTGTAGTACGTGAATACATTCAATGAGTTTTAACATAATTGAAACTTTCAATACACTCATGCTTAATATATTTAATGCTTTTATAGTTGTATTAGTTAATTTTACCTCTCAATAATAATACCTAAGATACAGAAGCATGTTATTGCATTCGTTTCGTTTGTTCCAAATGTTCAACAAATATCTCATCGTAACTCCTATCGTAATGATATTTTACGACTATTAATTTTATCTATTCGATTAATTGCCGTTCGTAAATGTTATGAGCACCCTCCCCGTAAAAGCGAATCCGTTTTTTGAATTACTTATTCCCAAATTTGGAAGCCTTTACAGACGAGCGATTAAAGTCATTATGAATGGATGGTATAAATAATGTATGTCGTCTTGATGAAAGTCATTAATAAAATCAAAAGGTTTGATCTAGGCGGTAAAAAAAGTGCATACATATTTAACTTTCGCATAAGACGGTTCTTCGAATAGGTGTTATTCAAAGTACAATTTCGCGAATCACCAATTGTCTTCGCAGAAAGCATTTTGTTCAGAAATTTAACAAATGCGTTTCAAAGTTTTATATACATTTCTTTTAGGAGATAATCGCACAGTTCGATTTTGCGTTCGAAGATACCTCTTGCTAGCAACAAACAGTAAATTTCTGAGACAAACTGCCCAAAGTGAGTTCCATAAATTTTCTCCACTCGAGCGCGCATGGTTGGAAGTTTCATCATGGTTACGGAAGAATAAGTTGTTTGATATAATAAAAATATTTTTCTAATCATTTTCATGATGTCTGGCGTACTCCCACAATTTGCGTTAAAATTTACCACCTTTTGCTTGCTGATGCGCCTTGGAATGCACCAGTTGTTGCCAACGCGCGACCCACGCTTTCCATCTGCCCGACTGTGCGGGACTTCATTGGAGATGGCGAAATGCGGTTCTTACCGGCCATCGCTGCCCCCAAAGGCGTTCCACGCACACGCACACTCACACGACCACACATACATGCACACACACCTGCGCGCAGAAATCTCGGCTTCAGGTAGCTCTGCTGAGGCGGGACTACTGTTGGACGCAAGGCTGGCGCTGTGCTGTAGCTACTGATAAGAGGGCTAGGAAAAGAAGTAAAAAGTTGAGATACGGAGATGAGTAGTGGGAGTTTGATAAGAGGAAGAAGGATGAAATAATTCATGTAAGGGAAGAAATTAAAATTAACGACATAGTATAATATGGACATTGGTGTAAGGTATTTTAAAGAACTGTATAATTAATTAATTTATTAATTGTCCGAAATAGTTCAGAATGAATGAGTAATGTATATATATCTGTCACAAAGAGGCATTCAAAATTTCCGAGATATGGGAAATAGGACAAAACAACTGTCATAGCTTTCGGAAACAGTCACGATGCAGAATCAAAACAGAGTCGAAGAACACGAAATCCGCAGGAGTAATAAGAGAAGAAAAAAAATTAATAAATCAAAACGGAATCCATTATGGCGAACCCCGGTAGCGGTCCAATCGCCGAACAACGAAGTAAAGAGAGAAAGACGAAAAAGAAGCTAGAGACGAGCAATCAGGAGGCGATTGGGGGGGGGGGATTCCGGCTCTGAATGAGCAGAACGGCCGCGAATGCGCCGGAGAAGTAAAGAGCGAGCAGACGAAGAAGAAATGAGAGGGTGGGGCGAGTCCGCGCTGCCGGGAGCAGTGGCCGAGTCGTTCGGGAGGCACGGGCGGCCGGGGAAGGCGGTAGCCGTTGAATTTCCACGTGCCGGCCGCCGCATCTGCGATTTGTATCTGTTTTGTTATGCAAACGAGGCGGCGGCGGGGGCGGTAGCAGCAGCGGCGGCGGTGGCTGCGCGCCCCACGCGGGCGTTTGGGGCTCGTTTTATCTGACCGTTACACTCGCCGCCGCCGCCGCCGCCGCCCTAACGGCCGCTGCGCCAACCAGCCACCTCCATCCGCCAAACACTTCCTGCTCCTCCCTCCTCCTTCTCCTTCTACTGTTCTTCTTCTTCTTCTCCTTCTTCTTTCTTCCTTTTTGTCCTCCTCCTTCACCACCACCACAACAACGCACCGCCTTTGACCCCGCCGCCAATGACCACAGTCTCTCCCTCTCCCGCGATCGTCTCGCCACCGCGCTCGCCGGTCATCGTCATCTGCGTGCCGCCTCCACCACAGCTTCCATCTTCTTTACCTTCGGCCTTCGTTTCACGTCACCTTCACCAAGCTACCACCGTCTCCACAAGCACTGTCGCCACCACCGACCGTGCCTCGTCTTCGTCTCCGGCTCCGCCAGTCATCGCGATGCGCTTGCCGCCTTCACCACCTTGCCTTCGGCATGCCCCGCGCCACGCCACCGCCGTCGCCACCGCGTCACTTGGGCTTTCTTTCCAGAAAAGCTCGGTGTCTGCCATTGCGCGGGCGCGCCCCGGGATGAATAACGGATTGCGGGTATGTCTTCCCTCGTGTCACCCGCACCACCTCTCTAGTCATGTGAATGTTGCGTGAATTTCGGAGAACTTCCTTTGTGGGGCGTATTGTACGCTGGGATTGCCGGGATTACTTGAAAGAGAAATATTAGTCGTTGGTTACGTGAGATACCGCGGGACAAAATGTTATGCCGCGGGTCAGATTTCTTCTTTGATGTCAGATAATATTGGATTGAAGACAGAGGATCAATTTCATTGTAGGTTTGAATTAGAAAGAACTCGATACACAAGGAATACAGACATTATTTATTATGCACTAGGTAGGTTAGGGGGTGTGCGTCTTCTGGGTGGCAAGTGCCGCCTTCCTGAGTCACGAGTTTCGTAGGTTTGTGAATTGGTGGTTCGGGCAGTAGTGTTTACGTGCCGTTATTGCCCGGTTTGTGTTGGAGAGAAATATGAACTGTTGGCTACTTAAGTTACTGGAAGTGAGCATTCTAATACCGGAGCTGAGATTTTGTCTTAGATGCCAGGTGAGATTGTAGTGGAAACGTAGGTTCGATTACCATTTTTGTACGTTTTTTCATCTTCGTTAGTCCAATGTGCCATCATATTGGAAGAAAATCGATGTCTTGTTCTGAAATTATTTCATCCACAGGCTATACTGTTATTCTTAACGCGTATGTAAATGCTTAAACAATTATGACTTAAATGCTTATACAAATTTTCGATGCTGAAATTTTCGCTCGTTACTTGCTTGCCAACAGCAGAAAGAAATCGACACCTTCTTGCTGGTTAATGCACTTCCCAGTACGTGAAATTCGATGACACGAAACCCGAAACGTCAATATCCTAATGTTTGAAGTACGGACCCTCGCAGTGAATCGCAGCACTAGCTGGAATGTTCGACCTTGAACCTGACCCTTTTATTTTGTTTTTTGTTAGCATGTTTTTTTTCTCCTTTCCTCCTCTTCGTCGCGTTTATTCACCGCGGTTTTCCCCTCCCGGCGTCTGGCGCTCGCCACTCGCCGCTCGCCGGTTCTCCCGAGAGGGCGGGAGGCGGCGGTAGCCAGCGCCGCCATGCGGTTAGCGCTGGCGTCGGGGCGCAACAAGTGGCTGCCGAGTTTCGAGTTCGTTCTCGAGCGCTCGATCGGCGCCACTTGCGCCGGGCGCTCAAGGGGGAGGAACGCTACATCTCGGCTACGGGCGGCGCTTCGGGCCGTTTGGCGGCTTCGCCTCGGCTAGAGGGATTTATGTAACATGTGATTTCCAGCTGGAAAATAAGCCATTACGAGTAGAATTGCGCAACAATGATACATATTGTGGTCAATCTGTGGGATGCAGATGAACCACAGATATGAAAATTTCAATTTATTGAAGTGCAACTTTCCTTATATTTACATTTTATTCAGATTGTAATATTACATGCATGTTTATTTTCATGGGAATGAAACGTAATCCAGCATGATCCAAATTTACTACATCAAAGTACTCAGCTAATAACAGAAATGCGTGTGAAAACTAAGCAGCCTTTTACCGCTCTCCATACAAATGTATAACGTTTATTGATTCCCATGACCGAATTAAAAGGAACTGTTCTTTGGCATGTTGTTTCAATATGATGAGATGCTATGTTTCTGCTAACTATTCAGTAAGTTCATAGATCATTTTCATGGAACATTTTTAACTGTTTATCGTCCGCTGACGATATATCGCAAGTCAACTCATTTAAATCGAACAATAGTTGCCGCTCGCCCCTTGCAGCGATCTTCGCTTCCCGAGGGGGGCGCGGCAACATGCGGCTGCCCAAACAGCGGCAAGGCCGGCGGCGCTTTCCCTGCTGTCGAAACAATCGGATGGACCAGAGTGCAAGCGCGAAGCAGGGTCGGCGCCCTTGAGGGAACTTTCCAGCGAACAGGAAAACAAAGGCATCGCCTTTAAATACCTGCTAGTCAAATGGGTTCCTCGAAATGAGCCGGCGGTTCGCCCCCGCCGCCCCCGCGTCCATCTGCGTCGCCGGCGCCGCGCGCGCCCGCCGAGGCGCCGCGAGCGAGATAGTCGATGATGACGCCGACGATGTCGTCGCCTGGCCGTTGTTGGGGCGAAAAACGCGCCGCCCGCCCACAAAATTATCAGCACAATTGAACGACGCCGCGTACAAAGAATCCAGAGAAACCCAAGGTCGTCGTTCTCAGAAGTTATTAGCCAATTAACGCCCGCGCCAGGCGCAGGCGGCGACGACGACGACGTTGGCGGCGGCGGCGGCAGAAAGTGGACGGCACAAGGCAGAGCGGAGAACGGAGGAGGGCGGACGTGCCACGAATGGGAGTGGGCGGCGGAAGGCGGTGATGAACCAAGACGCGGCGTGACTGCAGCGCTGACGCGGGGACTGCATGCACACTCGATATGCAGTGGCTAGAAAGCGTCTAGTTTTCATGCGAGGTGCGTTGAATATATTGTGATTCATGATTGAATCATATGATTTGCGGGCACGTCAACTGCCAATGTCATTCAGTCCTGTAGGCTTTATTGCATGCTTTTTGGTCGTGGGCCCGGTGGTGGTAATATCCGCTGTTGGATGGCTATATACGGTGCCTGACTACACGTCAGGTGGCGTGGTTTTCCGCAACCGGGAATCTCCCACCTGCGGGGCAACGCCCAACCCCCCGACTGGAATTCCGGGCATGTGTGGTAATATAATGTATGCATGTGTGCGTGTGTGTGTGTGTGTGTGTGTGTGAAACTAAGGCTGAGTATAGGATAAGAATTAGTAAGGAATAATTGCACGCGATCTGTGGCCCGCTTATTTGGGTACTGCTGCGGCATTGAATATATTAAGATCTATGTGCTACTAGGGCAGACATTCTTGTCAAAAATAAGCTGTCTTCATTGACTATTGTAATCATTGACTATTTAATGCTCAACTGTTTCATTAAGTGATCGTTCGTGCTATGACGTGGGTTTCTCCATCAAAATATGCCCACGATTGACTTTCACTCGCGCTTTCCGTTATATTTTTCTCCTGGGGGTCATTATGCCAACGCGCGCCTTCCTCGGGTGACGCTCGTCGTTCTACCGAGGTCCTCCTACGTTTTCTGGCGCTGCGGTGCGGCGCTGCGCGGCAGATATTGCCTCTGGGGGGCGCTGTCGGCATTCGCCTGCGGTCCTCAACACCTCGTTCATTACCTGCGTCGTACATGTCCGATTGAATCAGTTGGTTGGCCATTACGTACGCCCACTGAAATACACTCTTTCTGAAGTGAAGAAAGTATGTGAAGTTTGTTACTGGTGGACTTGCGTTAGCTATATAATGAAATTGGGCTTATTAGATATTATTTTGCTTTATGCGTCGTGCGTAAGGCTGTTCGGAGACAGGATTGAAATGAATTGAACATAATGTCGTCAGGCAGGGTGACTAGTGCTAATAAAATGTGTGAAATTCTTTAAAGCATTATTATCCTGAAGGGTATAAAGGTTTGCAATAATAAATAAATGCTGTACTGTCTTAAGATGCAACATAACCCGTCATTTCAGAATAAAATACTAACATGTAGGTGCGTTATTCATAATAAAGATGCCGCGAGCTGCACTCTCCTATTCATTGCACTTCGTATCTTTATTTTGGTATGTTGATTGCATTTTTTACGCCAGCCATACAAAAAGCGAACGTCACTTCGGTCTTGGTTGAGTAGGAATGAAACGAAAGTGAAAACTTACATGGATTCGCGGTAATACCGTGTTGATTTCCTAATATCATGAGGCGCAAACCATCTCAGCCTTCGGGCCTTCGCGGGCGGCGGGTGGGGCGGCCGGGGCAACGCAGCGGAGGGTGGCGTCGGCAGCTGCGGTCGCGGGCGGTCTCCACATCCCCCCCCCACCCGCGGGACAAAGCGCGCGCTCCCCTCGCGGCTCGAGGGGTGGGTATCCGGTAGCGCGCGAATACAAAAAACGCTACTGTGTGGGCGATCGGGAAGTGCACGCGGATCGGGACCGGCGGAGGTCTCGTGGGCGGGGCGCGGGCGAGGGCGCGGGCGAGCGGGCGGCAGCTGGGGCGATGAGGCGTGGATCGCGGATGGGCGGGGGAGGGGGGATGTAAGTGCCGCGGGGGTGATTGTGCCGCGGGTGCCCAGCAGCAGGAAGCGTCGGGATGGGCGTGGCCTGCTGTGCTTCCGCATCTGTTGGATGTTTTTGTACCAGAGATTGCTCGCTCCCTTCTTCGATTTCGACACGGAATATGCTCTCACGCTGCGATTGAAAATATTAATTCTGTTTAAGATTCGTGTTTTTTTTCTTGACTTTCATTTCATTCTTTGGTATACTGTTAATATTTTTTTTGTGTATAGTGTCAGTCAAAACTTGGTGGTAATAGCGGTGCTGAGTGCCAATGAGCAAAACTGTTTCGTCTTTGTCATTAAAAGTCAGACTTTTATCTGATCGACATAAAAAGGAAAGTCGTCGGTATATTAGGCTTTTGATAACGATATTGTTCACGTATGTTCGAAATTGTATTTGTGGCGTTAACTGTCATGTGGGTTCTATCTGATTACTGCGCGTGGTGTCGACTTCGCAGATTAGCGCATATCAGAATGACCTTATTTAATTTTGCGACTTATGATGAGACTAGTTTCTTCAAGAGAAACTATTTTAGTTTATAAAAGAAACACAATCTATTCGTTCTAAATTAAATTTGCATTTTGGGTTGTACCCTTCCGAGATCTTGCATTTAACGCTACATAAAAATTTTGGGTATAAGATAGTAGTGTTATCGTCGTCATGTTGACTATCGATCAATCGCCCTCTAGGCTTTTTTCCGTCTTCGCTTCTCACCCTCTCTTCAAAGTTATGACTCCCTCACTTTTTCTGCAATACCGTTTGGCGCCACATGAGCAACATGACGCGCTTTAGTAACTTCACATACGCGCTCTCATCTCTTCGGGCTTCTGCCGAGCACCTGTTGTGAGTTCTGGCTGTGTCGAAGCCTGCCGGAGGGCGTCCTTGGGCGTGAAGAGGCATCCGTGATTGGCGTCGGCCGGTGCTGCGAATTTCGCTTCCGGGAAGTGGATTAGCGGCGCGAGAGAGGCTTTGAGCGGCCGGGCGCTCCCCGCGTTGTGCCGCGCCGCGGCGCCAGGGGAGAAAGGCGCTCAAAGCCGAGCGGAGCGGGGCCGGGCCGCTCGGACGCGGCCGGCGCCTGGCGCCGCGGACCGCGGTTGGGGCGAAAGGAACGAACGAGCGTGCGCGCGAACGCTAGCTCGGGTGCGCGTCGAGAGTGAA